ATATATATATATATACCTTTGGGCGAAAAAATAAATTTCCTATTTTTGCCTCCCTGAAGATGTATTAATTCTTCATTCTGCGAATAATCCGATGGAAAAGAAAAAAAAAAAAAAACAAAAGAAATCCAAATCAAAATCCCCAGATTGCAGCAGACTCTGCAACTCTGTATTTTAAAATAAAATTCCTTTCTTTGCGGGAATAGCGGCAAGATATCCTGTAGAATATTACAACTCTGTTAAACCGCGTTGTCAATCCTTGTTCAACCCTGAAACGAAAAGTATTTTTGTAGAATACTCTTCGCGCCAGATTTTATCGCACGTCGAGATGCATACGTTATATTGTATTCTATATATTATATTACATTTACGTCAACGTGTACGTGCGTGTACATATTATATATCATATTGTATCATCCTATTCTGCTGGCAGATTTCATTATAGTTATTATATCTGAACGAAAAAAAACGAGACGAAAAACGTTTGAATTCGTCGTCGCATATAATATGGCGATTAAATTGATTATATATACACGTATATAAACGTCCTTAAAAAAAAAAAAAAAAAAAAAGAAAGAGGAATACCTATACAAGTCTTCCTTTTAAAAATCTGCACTGTAAAATCGAAGTTCGAACACAACAGTTCTAGGATTTAATTATAGCTGCAAAAAAGAATTGTTTTTGTGTCCTGCGCGAAGGTGCGTATAATATTACTTTCAATTAATTGAAATCGTTAAATCTGTATTTTTCTGGATAGAGTTGCTCAAGTCAAGATATTTTGTGAATTTTTTAACAATCAAACAGTCGAAACGCCTAACTAGTCGCTGTGAATCTGTAGATCAGAGTTGCGACGCTCAAAGACTAACTTGACTAAATAATTAATTATTATATTATTTTAGATCTTTTTGAAAAATTGTAGGGGATTTCAGTCACTCGTTTATTTCAAATTCTCTATGGTACTAAAGAACTTCGAGATAACTCAGAGATGTTCGAGATAGATACGCTTGCGTTATACATGTTCATCATAATTATTATTATAAACTTCTGTTTCAATTAGCGTTGAATAGTTTCACTTGTATTGGAGATAGGCAAACTGCGAACGAACGAACTTGATGACCATGATATTTTTGTAGACGTTTGACACGATCAGCCGAAGTTTACATACTCGAGTTGCATAAAAAAAGATCTTCTTGCTTTTATTTAAAACGATCGAGCAAATTTCAGATTTGCATTCCTCCTAATTCGTTATTTCACATGATCTTTATTACCCTCTAACTTTTATATTAATTTCAACTCGAAGAATCGTTGTATATTTGCAATATGCATTTATCGAACTTGAGGAACGCGTGCTTTTTAGGAAAGAAGTAAAGCAAACGAGATCTCAACGAGAATTCGCGTCAAATGGATGATCACGAACCGTATATATATATATAATAAAAAAAAAATCAGGGAAACGAAAATTATTTGATATCAAACGAGTTGATGATGATGATTCAAAGATAATCAAATAAAAAAAATATATATATATATACTTTGCTAGATACGAGAGGGAGAGAGAGAGAGAGAGAGAAACCTCATTAACTTAGGTGTATAATAATTGTAAAATCGTTAAATAAATGTTACTATGTTGTATTAATCGCGAGGCCGTCTCGCCTCGTCTTGATGAAACAATACAGTGAGTCACTCTGCTCGAAAGATTCAGACTTTTGTTACAAACGAGACGGGTTCTCGGATCGATTGTTTGTCATAGTATAATCAAGTATTATCTATGTTTCTCATCCGTTGGCTGACGTAAAAAGTAAGTACCTGCGCTTTATTAACGAGATCACGAATGATTTTCAAGAACGAGAAGGAGAAAATTGATCGTATGAATTATTCAATCAATAATTATTAAGAAGAAGAAGAAAAATGGAAGCGAAAGATACCGATTGCATCGTTGAAGATTCGTTCGATTCGTCGATTAGAGAAAGATACTTTGTTCTGAGAAAAATTTGAAAATGCACGCAAGATCGAGATTACGCTTTTTTACGTAGAGTTCGTTACGTGCCATCGTTTAAAGAATACATATAAACATGGCCAAGGATAAATGATATCGATCAAATTGTCGAGAATTATTATTGTCAGAGTTCCGAATGATAATCATCGCATCGCGAACCCTTTGATTTCTCGAGATTTATGTTTGTACGCGTGACATTTTCGAGCGTTGATCCGAGATATCTAAAGAATTTTTACTTTATAAAAAAAAAAAAAA